TACTTTTTGACTTTCATGACTACTTGCCAAATGACTGTCTTGACAAAAAGCTTATGTTATTAAAAAACAAACAATAAAGCTAGTCTTTTTCATGATATTTCTCTTMACAGATTTCTTTCTGAGTGAATATTCTGCTTTTAAAGTTGTGTATTTCTGCTAAGAAATYACTTAAATGGAAAACAGTCTATGTATTGCTCACTCTCTGTGTATTGCGCACTCTCTCTATATATATACACTATATATATCTATATTGCACTGTATCTATACTACTCACTCTCTTTAGTCAGGTTAAACCTAGATAGATAATAATAGACAGGAATGAAGGCTTGAAGATAGGCTTGACTTCAGTCAATTATAATATCATCATTATTCCTTTTATACTTTTGATAATAAATCATCTTAGTTTGCARCTAAATGACTATTCTAAATACTGTGATACTTCTTGTAAACCAGGAAAGTATCTATAGCCTTCCTTAGAGTTTTATCTTCAAGACCTTGTATTTGGAAATGGACTGAGTTTATAAAAGGATTGTCAACCTTTCTTKAAATACTATTTAAACTTTTGATCATAGAGTTCTTCCTTTGTTCCATCGCACCTGCAGCTTTTTAAAGTTGATGTAATGTTAAAAAAGTCTGATTTCTGCTCCAGGTGGACTCTCAACTGTTCAGTCGAAGTATGTCCTGTTGGTGTTTGCAAACCACATCATCCATTTTGAGCCTCATTTTATGATTCTTATTACAGATTAAATAAGGTCCACTGTTTATCCATAACTGTTGTTTTCATGTCTGTCTGTCTTCTTTTGTCCTTCCAGTTTATCCTAGTCCTGCAGTTGTCAACAAGGCAGAACTAAAGCGTACAAAATCATGAGCAAATGTGATTTTAAACTTTGGCAGGACTAGGGGACTTGTGCTGAGAAAGAGAAGAAAGTGCATATAGTTCTCATCCCAAACACACAGTCAGTGCTGCCTGACCTTGGAGGTGATGAGATGGTGCGGTTTATCTGCCTGCTACACCAGGCAGAACACCAAAGAAACCTGTTAATTTAGACAATACTGAGCTGATTGCCAGCACCGTTCATACCTCCACTCTAAATGAAAACAAAAGGAAAATAATCAGATGCATCTCTACTTGAAGCATATTTTCTGATAATAGGATTACAGATGTAATTCCACATAGAACATGGCTAGGGAGGGGTTTTTTTTTTCGCTCCTGTGCAGTAGGAGCTCTCACCTATGGTAGGGAAGAGAAAAGATGTAATTCCATTTTCTTCTTGAAGAAACGTTGCTTGACTTTCATTCAACAGTGGCTATCCGTGGGATATACTTGAGTGAGAGTGGGTACATCTTAATTCTTGTTGTTGAAAGTGTTCCAGTCTGTTGTGAAAGAGTCACTCGGCCTGCTAAGCGTGAGGTTGGAGGGAATGGCCCAGGCTTTGGTTGTACAGAGCTCCTGCAAATGGTCACTCAGCTCAGCTTATGTTTAACTGTGCAAGGACAGCTTCCTCAGGGAGGATGAGAGCAGCTTTGTTCTTATATCCTGAGGTGTAGTTAATAACCTGTTTTAGGACAGCTTAAACACTTCTCTYCAGTGAGGAAGAAAGATCTTTGATCTTTAATCCTGTTTATGTGCTCAATTATAGGAGATAGTTCCGTGAAGGTGCTTCCCAGTGAAGGGAGGAGCTTCTCTGCAGTTCAGTAGGGCAGTTSGGAACCTAGAGGCTATTAGGACTTTACTTTTGTTGGTTACCTCGGGCCTGATCCGCCTGCTAGTTTGCTGAATCCTGAATTTGTAGCTTTGCTCCTTTTCTGATTTTTGTACTTTTTTTTTGAAAATGCTTATAATAGGATATTTTATTATTAGAAATCTTACAGGGATTGAAAGGTCCCTCAAGATTTATATAACATTGATTCTAAATTATCGATGAACCTTTAGTTATTCCACTTACATTCTACAACCTGAACCGTTTCTCTTTTCAATACACTTCTCTGTTCGTAACTAAATAATTTATGATTTAGCTCATTTAAGTCCTTGGATAGTTTACAGAGATATATTTGTAACCATATGGACTCGATTTTATCAAATGCAGAATAGGATGCATTTTTTAATGAAAAAATGTAAAACAACTTTTTTATTTCTAACTTTTTAAGGTTATCACATCAAGGAAGATTTCCTAGGTACTAAGAAGAAAAACAAATTTTGTATCAAGAAGAATTTGTATTTTATTTATTAAAAATAAACATATATTGTAAGTGTTAGAGCTTATCCTTAAAGATCTGTTGTTTTTTGCAAAGCTTTCAACACATTAAAATTAAACTCTTGAATATGGATATTTTCAAAAATTTGATTTATATATTTTCTAAGAGACGCCATCAGCGTTTTAGTAAATTCTTCTCTTCTATCTGTAAAGTATCCAGAGAGAAAGCACAAACCCTCCCCAAATGTGCAGAAGTATATTTTGTAAAAGCATGTAAAAGCAAGCATAAAACTGAACACTCCAGAATAATACTTTATGAGGTTAAACTTTAGAATAAAAATGTTGTCAAAAAAGCATATATATCTATATGTTTATAAGCAGAGATTTTTTCACAATGGGATGGGTTATTATTTTGTCATTTTTCAGAGGCCTTCTCTAATCATGAGATGAAAAACAACAGCAAGGCTCTGTTGCTAAGGTAAAAAATAGCTCTCCTTTTAATAGGACAGGGGAAAGGAGGGACAGTCTCTACAGAGAGCAGTTTCAGCAGAGACTGTTCTCAAGTTAGCAGATATTTGTTATTCACCTGCCCCCATAAAACATGGAAAAAATGAGCTGCAGTTTTATTGCTGAGAAGTCATTTGTTACAATTGTTTGTATCTGTCCATAATATCCTCAAAATGTCTGTGTAAGTACACAATTGGATACCTAAAGCATCTATGTAGGTAATGTGAAAAATACTATGGGGTGTCACTAAAGCAATTTGGTTTCAAGTTATGCAAAGAATGAAAATGAACAAGAGCAAACAAAAAATTAGTAGTCAGAGAATTTGAGCACTGTGGAAGACCTCATGAGGCTTCTGTCCTGCTAGACAATCCCCACCTTTAATTTTATTTTAAATACTTGTCCAACTCAAATGTGCATCTTTCACAGAACTTTCTGGACACATATGTCCTTGTAATCAGTTCACTCCATATGACACAAGCTAAAGCTGTGGGTGCTTGCTTAAAGATCTCTCTCTGTATACATGTGTGTGTGCGTGTGTGTTAGTCTGTGAAATTAGGAATGCTCCTTTGAAATGATTTTCTTGATTGGCTCCACTTAACTCTGCTTTTGTTCATTGTGGAGTGAGCTGGGGGGTATATTGAGTTAGTTCTGAARGAAAGGAGATGAAGTGGAAAGATAAACTTCAGCTGTTTGTGGACATTCAGCCAGAGTAAAGTCAGTTTGAAGCAAACCCCACAAACCAGCTCTGCTCTGTGAATCCGCATGTATTAAAATGCAGTGTCTGCAAATGCAGATGTGACCAAAATGAAATTGCAACAAATTGTAATATTATAATGTAATATCTGTAAAAACATTGTTTTTTTGCTTACATTTTATTTCACTTTAAGTGGTTCATTTAACAAGCTGTTGCTTTTTTCCATTATCTGGTGACTTTTCTACATTGTTCAAATTTTCATTCTATTTTACTGTAAATCAGTTGTGCTGAAACGGGTTGCTAGTTATGAACTCTTTCTTAAAGTTACTGCTCTGTTCCATATATTTAAGTGGTTTTAAAGAATCCTTAAAAGATTCATTGATTATAGAATTATAGATTATAGAATCCATTACCCTTTAGTTTCTTTACATCCATTAGGCAAGCCTTAAACTYGTTTGAGGATTATTTCTTACTTTTACCCTTGCTTGAGTTGCTGGGAATTGTATTTTGGGACTAGTTCCTAGCTCTAGTAATTATATAAGGACTATGTTGTTTTTCCAAGCAGCTGTAAGGTGCTACWGTTTCCTCCATATTCCTGATGGTGACGGTGTTTACAAAAAAGGGTGCGTGTTTGGTGAGGAGGGCTGAGTGAGGGACAGAGCCCTGGCACAGGCTGCCCAGGAAGGCTGTGGAGTCTCCTTCTCTGGGGATCTTCCAAACCCGCCTGGATGCCGCCCTGTGTCCCGTGCTCTGGGTGTCCCTGCTGGAGCAGGGGGTTGGACTAGATGATCTCTAGAGGTCCCTTCCAACCTCAACCACCCTGTGATTCTGGGTGCTGCCAACCATGGCTTTCACCTGGGCTAGTGTAAATGAGTTCATGTTCATGAGGGAGGTAAYAAAGCAAAGTAACCCACTCTGCACCTTTTAACAAATAAATGATAGATTTTTTGCTTTTCTCCCCTCGCAGCTTGTTGCCTACAGCACTTTGGGGAAGCAAGCTATGGGCTGCTCTGCTTGGCAGAATTGTCAACAGTTTTGGGTCTGCCAGGCCAGATTTGAGGTGCATTGGAGGAACTGTTCTGACCTGAAAACTCGGCGCAAAAATGCGTGTAATCGATTTGGAGTAACTCTTAGAAGACTCAAAACTGCATTCCTTGAAACCAGCTGCCTTTTATTGCTGAAGTAGGTAACAAATTTCAACCCGGCAGCCTATGCATTCTGCAGGGGGGAATGCCGACATGGGGAAAGTTTCCTGGGAAAGGGCCAGCTTAACAGATGCAGCCAGACCAGCTTTGTGTCCAGCCTCGTGACTCTCTTTGTGCTGACAGGGTTGGTGTCAGCCTAACTTGGGCAGCTCGGGTTTTAGGTCCCGGGCACTGAGGCATRTATTGCAGCCAAACTCCCACTCTGCAACTTGTCCAGATTCATTTTGCTGCTGTGTTTAATGGGTCAGGATAAAGGGGAGGAGAAAGAGGCCGGCACCCGGCGTGCTCTGTTAAGAGGAGCGAGCCAATGTGAGCGTCTCGACATTGCCATATGAGCTCCCAAAAGCTGCTGGCTTGTGAGCATGGCTGCTCTAAAAATAGAATTGGGGGAGAGTTTTCAGTTAGGTCCAGTTTCAGGTTCCAGCTGAACTAGCCTGAGGAATCTTTTTCGCTCCTGTTGCAAGACTAAAGTGAAGATAAATCATTTCTTATTCTGCCTTTGACTTTGATTTTTGGATACCGGTGGGCTCATTTTCCCTATGGAAATCAAGCATTATGGCTGATGACACAGGTAAAAATCGAACCTTTTAGTGACCGAATGGAAAGTACATAGTTACATATATTGACAATGTCGGTCGTTGTAGTTGGCAAAGCAACTTGCTGGCTGCGCTGCAGTTTTGTTTTCTAGCTAGTTAACTGTTTTCGTCTGCATCACGGGCTGCCTCGGTTTTATTTGATGAAAAGATTTCCGGAGCAGTGGCATTTCATGGGCTTCTGGCAGGGTTAATTGCAACTTCATTGTTGGCTGAGTARAGCACGTTACAGTAAGAGACATTTTTATTTTTCATGCAAATATGTGCCTTAAAAGTTATTTTTGAAGTATACCAAATTACYGAGAATTTAGGAGTTAAACTAGAGTAAACAAAGAAACTTTTTCATATACTTTTATCTGTGAATGACTCTTAGTTGGGRGGAGGGTGATGTATAGGACTTAAAAAAAAAAAAAAAAAAAGAATAATTGCCATTGAGGAGCACAGCACAGTTTAAGACTTTATGATGTCTGTGTAAAGACATCTGGCGATGTAAGCAAAGGCTTACCAGATATGGAAAGTGACCTACTTTTGACATAGCTGGTAGTAYGTGCAGGGAAAGGACTTGAATTTAGAGCTCCCTGTCTGGAATGAGTTGGAATCCAGAGCCAGTGTTTCCTAATGGCTTGCAGGTTTTTGTTCTGGCTCTGGGTGCGTGGTTGTCTGCTCAGATTAKGGATGAACCCTGCATTACATAACCTCTGTTTATACTGAAGTGTTTCCTGATAAAGCTGCTGTGGTTAAATTCTTAGGAGAATTTTTCAGGAATTTTAAAGCAAATTTYCCTGTAAACTAGGAAGCCACAATGTAAAAATATACCTTTGCAAGTGCTGTGAAGGATATTTTTGTAGAAAAATCTGATTTTGAATGAACTGCCTCAAGCAGTCATATGGATTGGAAAAAAATAGCAGTTATGCTTATTTATTCATTTTTATTTCATTTTCCTGTTCTGTTGTTCTGCTGTGTAAATCCGCTTCTCCAGACAAATAGCAGTAAAGCAGCAGTACTAAGGTAAATGAAATCCAAATAGCTTCTCTTTTCTGATTGTTTCCTTTTATACATAGCTTTCTCTAGAACAAAACTCTATCCTAGAATCTTTAGCCTAAAAGATGCTTGCTAAATACTAAGTGTGTGTGTGAAGTTTTTATTGGCTGCAGACTGCGTTGGAACACAGGGGTAGTGACGTTCTGCTGTTACATAACATTTATTTCAGAATATTAAAAATTTCAAGAGTCTTCTAGGCACTTTTTATACTCAGTTGATCATATTTTTGAAGATATTATCACACACTGCTTGCCTTTGCCCATATTTTCTAGTTACATGCACATTTTTCATGCATCTCATCATTGSGCACACATGCAGCTAGGGTATTGTGCAGTAGTGACCCATAGATGCTGATGAAAGCATTAGGTGTCTTGATTTCTCTTTAAATGTTTTTGGAAAGTATATTCCAAGCAAACGTATTTAAAAGAGGAAAAAAAAAAAAACAAGATATTGTTTCATCAGTGAGAATTAACGAAGAAAAATGTTTTCACAAATCATTTCACTAAGAGCTAAGCTGAGATGTTTTTTTTTTGTGGAGGGGGAGATTGAACTCAATATACAGCACAATGAATATAATAGAAGGTTAATTGAGAACAGCTATGATCCTGTAGAAGAACAAAATCTGAAAGCCCTCTTTGTAATATCTATTACAGAAATAGACAAATTAAATAATCAATTGCTACAGAACTTTTAGAATTACTCTATTTTACTGAAGTACTGTCGTGTGGATTCGTAGATATGATTGACATCAAAATGGTTATTAGGTGCTTCTAATTGCATTGTTTTCATTTTGGGAAGGCTGGGTTGTCTTGCAGATTTAAGAAATTATCTGTAAAACCTTAAATAATAGTGGATTTTGAGTTTTGGATAAATTATAGATTATAGTATTCATAGATACTACTATAAATATTTTTTTCCTTTGGGTTTGAGATGTGTTGACAGAGTCTTCTGTCTTTCTACTTAATACTGGAGTTTCTGCTTTGTTTCTAATGTTACTATTTGCCACTTCTATTCATGTTCATTTGAGGACATTGATGTTTCTGCCTGTAACGTGATACCTAATCATCACAATTTGCAAATTGAAAAACAAAATTTCCTCTGTGGGCAAAATGGCACAGGTCGGGGAGTTTCTTTTGCTTTCTTTGTAGAACAAGTAAATCATTTTGGTTACTTTTGCAGTCCATTTGCAGCTTGGATGGAAATGGTTGTCCCAGTAGCAGGATTGAGTGTGGCTGATTGGGCAAAGRCCAAAGCTAAGAAGGAATGAAGTAGAATAAGCTGGTAGACCTGAAACGTGGCCAAGCTCTTGCCTTGCGGTCTCGAAAGAGTAATCTACAGACTTAGAAATTCTATCTACAGATACCTTTTTTCTGAATATCCGTTTACTAGGTGTATCTCTCTTTACATAAAATGATTCTAAATTATATCAAGCAATTTACAATCTACGATCTGGTGGTGGTGGTGGAAATCTGAAACACCCAATCCACATGCTAGGTTGATGGTCCCCTCTCTTCCACCAGTGTTTTGCTTATAACTCCTATATTTGTATATATACTTACTTTCCATACTTGCTATTGTAAATGAAATCATGGTTTGCATTTTTGCTTAAAATATCCATATAATTCTTTTATCAGTTAATTTCTACTCTAAAACTAGTCAATATGTAGTGGATCTCTTTGCATGATTTGAAACACTAGAGAACATTCTGATTATTTGGTTAAGCATCTCAATTTAGGTCTTGCTCTTAATATGGTTTAGATTTTAGAGTCTCTTTCAGCTGTTGGAGTTTTCATATGGATTTTGTGAGGTAACTTGCTGCAGTCACTGGCTTGGAAACTTTTCCTTGCTTGGGAAGAAAAGCTTCCCTTAAACTCTCCTGATTGTATTGCCCTCTGGTGGCAGTTTGAAGAAATGTTTACACCAATGCAAAATATGTCGAAATTGCTAAACTTCATATGGTAATAGGGGAGAAAGATGGGTTTGCAATTAAGGAATTAAAAAGAGAAAAGGTTGGGGTCTTTGCTTCATTATAGAAATTTTACCACTTAAAGTGATAAAAGTTTTACCACTTAAATAATCATAATCATGTAATATTACTGTAACTTACAGTAATTTAAAAAACAAGTAGCAAAGATAARGTAAAAAAGATACTCAAAGGCCAAACTCTATTTATATGCTCAGTCGTAATTGTTCTGTAACTCCTTATCATTTTCTGTATTTGTGAATCTTATTTTGAACAGAGACTAAGCATGGAGGAAACAAGAATGGAAAGAAAGAAAGCCTCTCTGGAAGCTCATTTTTCACCTGGTTTATGGTAATTGCTTTGCTGGGAGTTTGGACATCAGTAGCAGTTGTTTGGTTTGAACTCGTAGATTATGAAGAAGTTCTAGGTAAGAATTTTATATCTTATTGCAAYATACTAAAATCCTTCCAATACATTGATTTATGTGCGTTATATGGAGGTCATTTTACATTTCAGAAAATGTCAAGCTGTAGTTTAGACTCTACAGAGCAGAACCTGACTAACTGGGTAAATTAACTAATGTCATGTTTGGAAATGACCTGCAAGATAAAGCTAAGAATAAAAATAAGCARCGTATTTCAAAGGCTTATTTTATTGCTGGACTCTAAGTTGATGTTAAAAGGGAGCTTTAATAAAACTGGAAAACCCATTCTATTGAAATACTGCATTTACTAAAGAATTAGAGTAGTCAAGGATGGATTTTCCATCTGTTTGTAACATGTGTGCAGTACTACCTATGAAATTTTTAATACAAATACTTTGTTTCAGTTTAGGCTCTTAGGAACTTGTTGCATTGGCTTTAATTGTGTGGCTAATRTTACTGCCCTTACTAGGGGTGGGTTAAGGATGACTGTTCTGGCATTTTCTTGTGAATGAGCAGTAGAATGACCTCATTTTTCAACTGAATATAACTGACTGTTATGTCATGACATGACTGTATTGAGATACTATTATTAATATCCAAGGGTGAAAGTGACAGAGATTTCATGTGCTAAAAATGAAACTGTAAAACCTTAGGTAGACCTGCTGATCTTGCAGGCTTCAACATGCAGTTTTACAACTGCTAATTTTGCAAACTTTACAAGTCTGTTGATACATGATACTTGATCTGTACTAATTTTAAGAAAAGCGTCTGATTGGAAATTTAACTGGATTTAGTGATATGAATAATGGTTTCTATATTTTTACCATGCATGCAGCCAAAGCAAAGGATTTCCGTTATAACTTGTCAGAGGTACTGCAAGGTAGGATGCTGGAGAAATAAATTGTTTCACTGTCCCATAGCTGTAAACTTTTGTTTGACTTTTCATGTTTTTAATTTGGAAAAAACAGCGCCTTTTTTCTATCATGACATGAAAACTCAGCCATCTCTTTTTTTTTCAGTGGTTCTTCCTATTCTTGATACAAATATTCTTAGAGTATTGCATTTATTCTATAGTGTTTAACCATAAATCAATAAAGGTCATTTATAATCAATTGCTTCATTACGATGGTGATGACCATATTTCAATTTATTAGAGATCCAAGTCTGATTGTTTTTTCTGGAAGCACCATATTAAGAATTTTTATTTGTATAATTTAATAGAAGTCATTTTCTTCCTCCATTTAGAGATGATGAGAAATTTAATAATTAACTGAAACAGGATGGTCCTACGGAGTATCTCTGCAGGCAGTTTGTAGAGTTATTGTCCTATTAAAAGTGAAGCTGGAATTTTATCTAGATCACTACTCACTTACTGATCCCAAGATACACTAAATGCTTCATTCCAGAATTCTATGCTAAAATTTGTTTTTGAAGAGAAATTGGGTTTTCCTTTGCTTACACCCGTGTCTGGTAGAGCTGCAGCTTCAAAACAGAAGWAAAATGAGGCATCTGATGACTCAGTTACTTAGAGAAATCTTTTTTGATGATGCTTCAAAGGGGTTTGTTTGAATTGAAATTTTTTTTTTTGACTGCATTAAATGTCATATAGTTGCTGACAAAATTATGAATGTTATTTCKCTGTCCAAGAAGTAGATTGCTTCTGTTTACTTACAGAAACTATATAGTTATCTTTTTTTCCCCAAGTAGAATGTCAAGTATAAACTGACATTTCAGTATAAACCGAAAACAAATTATAATGATTTGATTGATGTTTCTTTAATTATTTTTCCCTGCTAGAACTTGCTGAATGTTTCTTGTGAAGTTAAACTTTGTTCTGAGCAAAGCATATTCAGATAAAGTGCATCATTGACTTAGATTTTTTGTACTTTAGATGTACAGTCTGCAATCACCAAAAGAAATGTGCTGAAAAATATTAACATGTATTCACTTTGTAATCTAGTAAATGAAGAAAGGAACTTAATTCAGTTTTTATCCCAGAAAAAAATAAAATGTGGTTAAGCAAGCAGGGCTAAATCATCAAAAAACATGGAAATAGGAAAGAGCCTAATGTTGATAATCAACGATTACATATTGAAATCACTGTTTTGCAAACAAGCTTTTAATTTAAAAAATAATATATGTATTTTTTAATTCCTAATTCTGCCCTCTTCCTTCTGTATTTTTAGGGAAACTTGGTATTTATGATGCTGATGGAGATGGAGATTTTGATGTAGAAGATGCTAAAGTTTTGCTAGGCAAGTACAAACACAGGTGGAATAATCTGTATAATTTACTTGTCATGGTTCGTTTATGATTATTATTTAATGTTATAACATTTTTTTCCTAATTACATTTTTGAAATCAATTCTTTTTAATGCAAATTTTAGGAACTCTTTTTTTTTTTCCTTTTTTTTTTCCCCTTGATATGCCAATATAAGTGGAAAATACTTAGTACTTACAGGATGATCTTGAATTTTGGTGATTGGTACTACTATATCAACAATTGAAAGATCATTGTGATTATTAATAAATTAGACTCAGGATTAAGATACTGTTTCAGCGTAAGAGTTGAAACATTATTCATGCAACATGTTAAGCCAAGCTCATTTTTACATATATTCTAATAGATACTTTTTTTATCTAAATTTTTATCTGTATTTGTTTAGCATTTTTTAATTGTGTTTTCCCTCTATTCTGAATTCTCCACAACTTTGTTCAATTTCTCTAACCTTTAGAAATCCTGTATAACTTGTTTTTTTCTTCTTGAATATTGAAAAGGTGGTTTTAGGCATTTTGCTCCTTGTATTGCTAGAGAATATCTCTTTCTGTTCCCTCAAATTCTTCATAGCAGTGCCCTTCTACCTCCATCCTCTAATAGTTGAGCACTGTCATCAAGTTCATGATGAAATAATCAAACTTTGGACAGATAATTCTTGCATAAATGATGTTAGAAAGATTATATTTCTTTGCCTTTTTTTTTCCCCCCCAAATGTAATATTACCCTATGCACACAAACCTAGTAAGTAAAAACAAAACAAAAACTCCCAACATAGTAAATAGCTTGAGCTGGAGGCAGGGTGGAATGTCTCAAACTGTTAGAAGATGTCCACAGTAAATTAGATTATTATTACATGCTATTTAAGACTTGTACACCTAAAAAATAGCTTATGGTCAGTTTTTTTTCCCCATTTAAATGAGGAAAATATTTGAGGAGAGGGTCATCTTTTTAGTCATTTACTTAATCAGTAAGGAAAACTCCTATAATCAAACTTATTCAACTGTTTTTCAGTGATGGGAATGTGAGAGGTGCTTCAAAGAATCTGCAATGCTCTGAGAGATTTAAATGGTGCATTCATGATAAATCTTGAGGAAGATAGTATTTTATGTAGTTATAATCCCAGTGTTTCAGTATCTCTTAATATTTATGTAGTGTATGGAAAGTGGATATCACGTCTCTTGTCGTTTGTGTTGCACTCAGATTGCCAGGTCAGTAGCCAGAAACCTACTGCTGCTTTGTTATATCTCTGCTTTATAGAACATGATATAGCTAGTAATTCTGCCACCACATGACAATATTTCTATTATTAGCTTGTCTTATCCTGTACTTAAGTCTGATACTTCAAACGTGACATTAAAAGGTCAGAGATCAAAACTAATTTTCTGGTTTTGAAAAAAATGCTTAGAAATATGATTTTGTTTTTTTTATTTAAATTCAGGATTATTTTCTGCAGTGTAAGAGAAATTGTTAATTTAAGAAAGTTACTGGATATCGATAAATAGTATTTTAATACTCTTTTTTTTTTTTTTTTTCTAGTAGAGTCCATAATTCATTTAGTTTAAGCTCACAGCAATTTATTGTGCTGGTTTCTATTTAAAAATGAATTTATACAGCAATGAATTTTATGTAGAACAATTTAAACAGCACAATTATTCTATACATATGGAAATTAAAAGACTAGATTCTTCCTCGAGGGAGTTGTATTGCAAAATTAAGTCTCTGAAGTTAATTTAAAAAAAGGCATGTGTTGTAGTAACCCTGTATTCACTAAATATTTCTRAATATTTGGATGTGTGGCTCCTTTGTATTTTTCATTTGTGGGATATTTTTTTGGTATATATACTATGCTTAAGCACTTAGTACATTCTGGGATTTTTCTCTAAGTGAGACTACCATAACATCAAGTGATTTTTCTGCTAAATTAAGAGTGACTTTAAAATTTGGTGTTATACTAGAAGTTATATGCTTTATTCTTTTCCCTTCTTTACTGGTATAAAACCATTGTAACTAAAATCGTTGGCAACTATAGTGCTTTTATGTCCTTTTCTGTAAGCTTTAGTTTGATTTGTATTTTAGTAATAAATGTATAAATGTAGTAATAAATGTATTCTGAAGTTCATTGTGAGAAATGCTTCTACCATTCACACTTATTTCAAACGTAGATTTAGTAGTAAATAAATCAGAATAGAAGGATTTAAAATTTAATTATTTATTGCATTATATATTACAGGATCTGTTCTTTTTATTTGCTGAAATCAGAGGCAGTTTGATGTTCAAGTTTTCTCTAGGCATTTGTGCAATTTTGAAATAAGCATATCTGAAATGTTCTCCTTCCCCTCTAAAAAATGCAAGAGGGGAAGAAAAAAAGGAAAGACCACTTAACCTGAACACTTTTAATAGTGTTAGATCTTTTTTCTCTTTTGTTAATTAACCTTTTTGGAGATATATATACTATCCTGATGGTAGGAATATCTACAGGAATTATGATAAAAATGTAATGAAGCTAGWACAGAGTTACCTCATGGATTTTCTTTTTCATGGATATGTATTTTTGAATTTAGCCCTCCGTGTTTGTGCTGGGTTTATTGCTTTATTTATTTATCTTCATCAAGTTGGCTATCCYTTGACAGACTTTTGAACAAAATTATTAGTGACAGGAAGGTTAGTCGTCTTCTCATCCTGCTTTTCTTTCTCAACACTCCTGCTCCTCTTTAACAGAACGAAGCTTTTGCATTTGTTTCTTGTTTCATTTATTATCCTGGCTGCCTCACTGGCATTCTTACTGCGTTTGATGGAAGATAGTTACTAAGTTAGTTCTTGTACCAATTTCTAATCCTTGATAATTCTTTCAGTTTGCTGAACTCTTTCTGGTGATTGGAGCAGAGGCATCTGAATCTACTCCTACTGAGTTTTCTGTTATGAGTTGTTCCTTTTCCCAGTTTCTTTCTACCGTTTTGATTGTTCTTCGAAATAAGTTTTTAGCTAAGGACAGAGCTGGTGGTTTTGTAGGATTTCAAAAAACACCTACAGAGTCAGCACCCCCTGTCTCTAGAAGTAGAATCCTTGGAGTCATTTTTATACTTTTCTTCCATAATAATAATAATAATAATAAAATAAGTAAAGATAGTTAATAAATACCTGAAGGGAACAGTTATTATAAACAGTAAAATCCTAACTTAGAAATTAAGGAATGATTAAGCACAGTTCAATTTCTTAGGCTATATATTTTCCGCTTTTTTTGTTCTTTATTTGTGTTTTGCTTTAGCATCTTCAAGTATTAAAGAATCACATAAGTTCCTTCTGTTATTAGGTGTTTATAGGTGAAGAAGGGCTTTTTTCTTTTTTTAATTAGTTAAAAAAATCACCCTTACCCTAGCCTGGTTGCAGTAGTACTTGTATAGTTAAATATTGTGACTCATTGGATTTGTGTTTGAGACAAGTGGCAATTTTTAGACTTCTTTTGCAATACAGCAGGTATTTCCTTCATGGCATAGCAAGACTGCCTACGAAGGCAGTTCTAATTTTGTYTCTAGATAATTTTAGGTACTTCTTACCATGCTTGTGTACACTTTTACCAGTACATGTGTTTGCCTTTACAAAGCAATTCTTCTGCATACAGACAAAAAATGTAGACAGTGCCTAGCATATTTTAAAAGTTTGCTGTCTTCATTGAAGGCAAAACTTGTTGAGTGTTTATCTGTGCTTTAAAATTTTGTTTTGTTTTGTTTAAATGTTTATATGGAAAGTCAGAATTTATAAAATAGGATGTGTTACTCTAACATTCTTTTTTGCTAAAGCTTAAACCTCTTTTAAAATGCATTAGATTCATCTTAGGTAGTTTTTAAAAGACTTGTTAGTAAAMATTTTTTGKTTTATTTATTTATTTTTGGTAAACATTGTAAGGTATATATCTTGCAGTTTTCAAACTCCTCTTTGGCCTGCTACCCTTTGTGAGGAAAATATGCTATTGTATATGTTATATTTTGTAGCAATAGCTACAGTTTGCAGTTTTTGAGAAAATGTCCCCTACAGGGATGGGAGCCGCCATTTGCTTCTTAACATGTTTTCAGAAATACTGTCCAAATATTGTGTTAATACATTCTCTTTTTAAAGTCATTTAAAGCCTTTTTTTTTTTTGAAAGACAATTATACAGATACCTATAATTCTGTGTTTGCACCGCAGTGCTTTCTCTTTGATTCTGATTTTCATCGTTAAATTCAGATTTCATTCTTCAGTAAAAGTACTTATTTTGATATTTTGACTTCTGTCTTTGCATCTTATTTGGTCCAAAGTTTGTAAAGCAATTAGAATGATGATTCACAACCCTGCAAAAAGTTAAGTCTATAAAATTTAATTTTTATAGAACTAAGCCATGGAAGAAGTTGGAGAGGGATATTTAAAATACCTTGATTGCCTTCTGGATTCAGTCTGTCATTTTTAAACCTTTGGGCTATCCAGTGAAAAATTAAAAGAGAATGGCTGGTCACTGAAGTAGAGGTTCTGGACATCCAGGTACAAGGATGTGGAACATCATGGACTTGGAAGTTTCCTCAGAATTATCATTGATACTTTCACTATGTGCTGTAAGAAAAACGTGTTGAAATGTGTTAAGTGTCTGCCATAGCCTCCTATCTTGAATGTTTCATTAACCTGCACCTAATACTGTTTCGTAGTGTGCATGTGCAACATGTTCACTTTTTTTTTTTTTTTTTTTTTTTCCCCCTCCTTGTCTCAACATGCTGTCTTCACCCATAGCCACTTTTCTGCTTCTTCTTCCAATATAAACACAGGTTTATTCTGGTTAGAAGTGGGGGAAATTCTTCCCTCTTCCTCTTTAAAAGTTGATTTTCATTGCTTGATCATTCTGTCATGCTTTGCGCAGAATGGAAAAGCTGAAATGTTAGTTATTTAGTAATAACTGTAAAATTTGGTGTTTTATTACAAAAAAAAATAAGAGAGATCATTATCAATGGCTT